CTGAGATCATGATATCAGTGCCCATTCTCTCAAATGGGCTGAAAATGTATAAAAGAAAGCCTGATAGGAATGGAAGCAGATTACTATATATGAATTAACCCACAGAAGTCACAGGTATGAAAAACCACAGCTTATTTAGAAAAAAACCAAACTAAAAAAACAACACAAACCACTGTTCATTCCTCTGATGGTGTTCCAAAACTGTGATTTGATCTAGGGACTTGTATATAAAGTAATTTCAGTAATAATGTGGGTGTAGTAACCAAGCCTACTTTACATGTTTAATACCAACTGTCTTACACTTACACCCAGACATTTCACAGAAAGCTGAATGGTTTAGAGTAATAGTCATAGCCCCATTGTGACCCAGGAATAGAACTCATGGATTCTTAGATATATATATAGCTGACTTTAGGAGGAAGAGAATCTGCTGAAATATTATGCCACTGAATCTTTACTGGCTGACTTGTTTGGATGAAAAAATACAATTTGAAATAATTTTGTAAATACTGAAGCAATACTGAAGAGTCTTTGGTTGCTCTGCTTAGTACCATCAGCTATAAAATTGGTAGGACAGAAGTGGGCATACAGTTTTTGTTTTAGAACGATCACAGAAAAGTAGACATAAAAGAAAAGCACTGTGGGTTCTTTTCTTCTCAAAGAAAAAAAATGTGTGTGGTTTAAGTCAATGCTACATAAATGCTAAATAAAGTACTGTGTTAAGACACTGTTTAGCAATGTCTTCTTAAGACAGCTAGTACATTTTCTAATAAGTCCAGCCCCTTTAGTATGGACGATCATACTTATAAACATCTAAACTAGACAGCTAGATTTCCCAGTCCAGCAAGGAAAGTCCACATGTATGGCAGTTCAAGACAAATATGCACATTGTTATACTTCTCCTGGATGTCCACGTCCTTCTGCAAATGAGGATGTGCCTTCTCAACCTGAACAGTACAAGTGTAGGATGGTGCAATATTTAAAGGTAGGGAAATATTAGCATTTTTCTAAGTTATTGGTATTTGAACACTTTAAAATGCCACAATTCAAGTCTGAGCAGAGAGTGAATGACAATCAGTAAAAGTAGAGTTACACACAAAAGGAAGGAGGAACACTGTGTCCTGTACCTAGTCCTCTGACTACAGCTAATGGATAGGTGGCATTACATCTGCACTGGAAGGATGGACAACCATCTGTCTGGGAGTCTGAAACTACATTTTTTACTGAGCTGGTAATTGGACTAAGACAGGGGTAGGCAACCTTTCCCCTTTAAGAGCCGAGGGACTTCAGCTCCCAGAAGCCTCAGCCATGTTGGCCAATAGTCCCATGTTGGCCAATAGCTCCTGGGATTCTGGGAGCTGAAGTCCCTCGGCCCTTAAAGGGGAAAGGTTGCCTATCCCTGGACTAAGAGCTCTAATATCCATCCAGGGAGACAGCGTAGCATAGTGGTCTGAGTGTTGAACTACGACTCTGGAGACCAGGGTTCGATTCCCAGCTCAGCTATAAACCCCACTTGGGCGAGTCACACTCTCAGCTTCAGAGGATGGCAATGGCAAACCTCCTCTGAAGAAACTTGCCATGAAAACTACACAATAGGCTCACGTTAGGATCAGCATAAGTCAGAAACAACTTGAAGGAACACAACACACACACTAACCATCCAAACTATGTATTCTATGAATACTTTAGGAATGAACATTTACCAGCTATGCACTGTGCTAAACCTGAACTAGTTTTTTTAAGGCTTTAAAGTTTTTCTCATCCTTACCTGAATTTCTAGTTCTGCAATATGCTGCTGGAGTTCTGCTACAGCTGCTATGCTGTCTGCCTCTCGGAGTCTTACAGCCATCACTTCTTCCTTATTCTGGGGATAAGGAAACAAGAAAAGTTCAGAAAAGAAAACTCCTGATTCCTTAGGAGTTAGAAGTAATAAGATGACTTGTTTCATGAAAAGTTATTTGAAGCCAGACAGTTAGGTGGCCTTTTGCCCTTTATCCTTTCAATATTTACAGACTATACCCAAAGTGAACTCAATAAAATTAATGTTTGATTGACTTTTTAAAGTCTAAGATTCTAGTAATGAAGTGCAGCCAGTTCTGGAAAGAAGTAAATATAAAAACATTTTTGATTCTACAAAGTTTAATGTTTAAATCCAAGATGGCCCAATCAGAACTGAGCTCAAACCTGTACTTCCTGTTCACATTGGGAACTTTCTTCCCACTTGTGCCATTGGGTCCTTTCTTTCCACTGCAAAAAGTAGGAAGAGAATAATTCATTTCATGGGATGGCCATAAGTCTACCGGCAACATGAGGGTGTGTGCAAACACATGCACACACACACACATGAAACTTGAAAGCAACCTCCATGATGATATCTGACACTGCAGCACTTTAACAAATCATTTCCTGAAGACAAGAAATATTTGAAGTCCCCACCAGCTCTCTGCGATGTACAAGTCCATTAACTGAACCAGGTGTTTCCCACCTTGCTCCTATATCACAACAGCACAATAAAGGGGCAAATTAAAACAAAAATGCATGAAAACAAAGGGTGCAAGCAGATTTTCTGTCTTGAGTAATTATGTAGGCACATCCTTAAAAGATTCGGGCATCCACTTCACATTTGCTCTGTCTTCATGATAAACCAACACATCAGCCCCAGTTATATACACAGAATCAAAGCAAAAATTCCACAACGCCCTCTTGCAAATGGTTGCATGATTAAAACATTATAATAAGCAATTCTCTTAGATGTGGCAGGAGCAGAGGACCACTGAGTAGTCCAAATGGCCCTCTTTAGATCTTGCATCCAACACCTCTGTTCCTTCTGGTTCATTTTGATAATCAGATTTCCCTACACTTATTTTTTAATATCCAGTAATATTCTCTAGCTAGGGATGCTCTTTTATTCCATCAGTTATCTTGATAACAGTGTTACCAAAGGGTACATAGCATAAAGTCTAGTTTCCAAATATTCCATGACATGACTGACAGTTCTTGATCTTCAGATGATCAAAACACTGCTACTGGACAGAATATTTATATTTCTATAAATATATTTTATTTATATAAAATATATAAATATTTTTATTTATAAATAAAACAGCTATAAATAAAACATAACTTATTTACATAAATAAAAAGAATCACGTAGTGTAGAACACACACTGAACAATTTATTCAACTTTCATATATGCTCAGTAATGATTGCATCCAGATTCTCCTGGGAGTACTGCATTCTAGGTATGTTCCCCAAAAAGCTAAGTGATGATAAATAAAATAAAAACAAGACAATAAAGTATTTTTTTAAAAATCAAATTCGCTATGACAATGGTATCAAATGCATCAGACAAATGCATATTTGTCAAATATAGTGGTTCCCCAACTTTGGTCCTCCAGATGTTTTGGACTTCAGTTCTCCAAATTCTTGAAGTTGGCCAAACTGGCTAGGGCTTCTGGAAGTAGAAGTCCAACTGGAAGACCAAAATTTGGGAACTTGTAGTCTAATATATAAATGATACCTGAAGATGATCATGACAATCCAACATTAAATCTAATAAAAGTGTCAGGTGAAGCCAATGCAACTACTATAGACTGTTAATTAAAAATATGTAAAGGAAATATTTATTATTTTTAATTTATCTAAATTATGTACCTTGCATTCAATCTCTGCTTGCTTCCGCTTGGATTCAGTTAGCTGAGACAGAAGCCCTTTGTTTTGTGCAGAGAGATACTGGACCTTCCCTTGAAGATTGCTGATCTCTTGCTCTGCCCTCCTCAAATGGTTACTATTTATCTGGCTCTGATAAGGAACGTTTGCATGGGGAAAAAGCAAAATACATTAGCAGTCCAATACATCTGTGGTAGCAAAGGCTTATAAATCAGCATAAATTTCATGGTAAAATTGGCACAGCAATCATATGAAGACTTAAGCATTTACTTGTTGCTGCCAACAGCTAGCAATCCAATTCACTATGCATCCACCAAACACAACATATACAGAGATGTTAAACAGTTGTAGCACTTTTCTAGAAAAACACCCCAAAGCTGCACTGTTGTGCACTGTACATGGATGCATTCTGCCAAATACCTTATTTTCCTGCGTATAAGACTACTTTTTAACCTGAAAAATCCGTTGTTAAAGTGGGGGGTCGTCTTATACGCCGGGTATAAGGATAAGGAGGATAGAGGTGCTAAAACTCTATATTTTGACTGGGAAATGGGGGGTCGTCTTATACGCCGGGTCGTCTTATATGCTGGAAAATACGGTATATTCAGCAGTGACAGTCACTATCAGGACCAAAGCAGCTTATTAAAACAAGAATAGCCATGGCTACAACCCTTAAAAAGCTATTTACCATGTTCTTCCCTCTGTTAGATTGATACATCTGTGTTAAAAAAGATGATGAAGGGTCGTAGCCATCTAATCAATCTTGCCTTTGCCACTGAGTGTCAACAAGCACAGGAAAGTGGGAATTCATTAACAGCTCCAGTATAAGATAATCATAAGTGGCTTAATATCTCTATCTTTGCTTGTGAACTGACCCAACCACACATACACTGCTAGGAGACTATATCTGCAAGTAAGCTATGTATCCAAAATTATCCTTGCAATGACCTAGAAGGTAGCATGGTGTAGTGGTTTCAGTGCTGGACTATGGAGACCAGGTTTCAATTTCCATTCAGCCATAAAACCCACTGGGTGACTTTGGGGAAGTCACATGCTCTCAGCCTCAGGCGAAGGCAATGGTAAACCTCCTCTGAACAAATCTTGCCAAGAAAACCCCAAGACAGGGTTGCCTTAGAGTCACCATGACTGAGCAGGGGATTGAACCCTGGTCTCCAGAGTCTTAGTTCAACACTCAAACCACTATGCCATGCTACCTTTTAGGCCATTGCAAGGATAATTTTAGGTATACAGCTTACTTGCAGATATAGTCTCCTAGCAGTTATGTGTGGTTGGACTTGCCCAAATGACATGAAGGCGTACACACACACACACATTGTTTCCTTTAAGGGAAGAAGCTTCTCAAAAACTATTTTCTATTCTTAAGCTTAAATTTAACATTTTAATGTGTGAAGTGTCACAGCTGTGGATAATTCCATAGTAGCTTTCCTAAACTGATGACATATCTCATTGCCTACAGACTGTACTGACTATGTATTCCATCCAATCATTCCAAGTGATAAACTGCAGCCTAGCTTGGAATGTGAACATGGGTTACTTATCTCAGTTCATTTACTTAAAGTAATCTTCAAGAAGACATTTGTGATTGCCTTGATCACATTTGTCATCCGTTTGCTATCAAGGATGAAAAATGGACCATATAGAAATGAAAAGTTAAGCTCACTTACAAGGTTGAGTTTTCTTTTTTAATGCACAGTTTGTGTCTATAGTGCTTATAGCTAAGAAAACTATCTGTATTCAATATTGAATTGTTGCACACTTGAAAAAGCAACATGTGATTTGTGGTACCTATGTGATCAAATAGAACAACTACACCCCCTGCTGACTGAAAGGATTAGGGAAATTAGCCACTTTTTTGCTGTATTATCTATACAGTGATATATTGGTTACAATCATTAAAAAAAAAAGCTTTTGCATTGATCTGTTGTTTTTTTAAAATACTGTATTTAATTGTTTCTATTGCTGGAGGATGACCCATGCTTTTGATAAGTGCTTTTCAAAAATTCTGCTACGTTTAGTACAGCAGCTTTATTTTTATTGTTTGAATATTATTATTAGACAACTTGAGGATTTTATACATAGGTCTGGATATGAATGTTTTCAATCAGGGGTAGGCAACCTTTCCCCTTTAAGGCCCAAGGGACTTCAGCTCCCAGAATCCCCGGAGCTATTGGCCAACATGGAACTATTGGCCAATATGGCTGAGGCTTCTGGGAGCTGAAGTCCCTCGGCTCTTAAAGGGGAAAGGTTGCCTACCCCTGTTTTAAATATACAGTATTTCCTTCACAAAAAACATAACTACATCATTGTGAATCTAGCCCTTCTGACAAAGATGCCAAGCTCTGCCTCATATTCCCAAAATATATCACTTAAAACCTGTAGCCACTCATCAGTCAACTTTTTCAAGCACATTATTCAGGCTGATCTTACTAGGTTTAGTAGTAATTAATCTGTAACACTTAACTTTTATAAATTATAAATTTAATATCACTTTTACTTTTATAATGTCAATACTAACATTCCAGAATTTCTCTAGTGGTATTTCTGCACTTTATTTTTGTATAAACATTCATGTATAATCATTTCCTTAATATTTTAAGGGTTAAAATTTTCATAATATTTCTATGACTGAACTCTACAGATGTTAACTGGTAATAATTCATGTTATTGTAAAAGTAATACTTTAATTATTACTTTATAAGACAGTGAAGTAATCAAAGGATTTCCATCCCTGCTATCATCACCACAGTCATTCTCCTGCTCAATTTTTTTAATATGGGTTTTAGTCCATTTTAGCCTCTCTGTGAAATAAATT